CAAGGCATACCTTAGGACCCGCTGGAGCTTGACTTCATCTGACAGTCCTACCAGCGCCTGCTCTGTCAGGTCCAACCAGTCAGATACTCGATCCCCCTTGAAGTGGAACGTCTCAACCTTTGGGACATTGCTTGGCGCCCTCTCGCGCTTGTCCAAAGCATCGATGAGGTCGTCAAGTGTCACGAGCCTCCTCCCACCGTCCGCCATCAGCTCTGGCATTTTGATCAGCCACCACCGGCTTCAAACCTCCTGTTATAAGAAACGATAGGACGAAAGGCCCCACTCAGCAGTTCATTCCCTCACGACCCTACCGGCTTGACCCCTCAAATATCCGACGCTCTAGAACTGACAGACATTTCTCTTCTTGTTTCCCTTAGGCCTACTTAGATAAGGCCTGCCCATACCATAAAGTCTCCTCACACACTCGCCTCATCCACGCTTTATGCCAATCCGCCAGTCAATCAAATATTCACACCCACTGTCATACAGACCACCATACACTTCATCGTATAATCTTTCCCTTATCCACTCATATGCCTTGTTCTCCCCCATTCCCATACCCGGATGTCGTTCCACCAGGGACAACGGTAGGCTTCCGTTATCCCCGGCAACGGCGCCACCTGTCGAGCGCATCGGTCCGGCACCGCGCGCGGCAGTGCGGGCCTCTCTCGGCCGCGTCACGCAGGAGTTGGACCAACCTGGACATGAACACGCAAATGGAGCTTCCTTAGGCCGCTTCGGCCGAGTGCGCCAGCCATACCTCTCGCGAGCCCCTACGACAGGATAGGGCCTACGCGAGGCACAACTTACCTCCACCTTACGCGAGTTGTCACCTCCCATCGGTGGGCATATCCCCGCCGAGCTACCAGTCTACAATACGAAAGTTGATCGACTGCAATCGCAGAGGTGGACCAGACGATGACGTTTCTCATTCGCTGTAGCATAGGGGGTACGAGCGGTAATACGCCTATCGGACCCGCACGCGAACTGACATCTCGGGGGGCTGAGGTCCCAAGCGCGACTCGTCGTCGGTCGACTAGGACGCATCACACACACCAGCGCACACACGAAACGACACGATAACGCACATCACTCTTAACAAATATAAAATAAAAACACACGCCCACGCACACACGCAAGACAACACAACACGAACAACGCGATAACGCTCCTAGCCCCTCAGTAGCCAACCCATAACTTTTCCGACGCGAAAATCGGATAGGCGTCGCGAGTGAGACCCGATATAAAAGCGCGCGGACGCGGGGCTATCTCATATCGACTTGCAATGCGAATGTGCGCAAGCAGTCGCGATGATGGCGTACTATGTAGTACCCATACTCACGTGGTCCTCGTTAATCTCGAGGGCCGTATTCGGCACTCAAGTGTCGGCTGACACGCGCCTTGAGGGTTAATCTCTCAGCGCTAGACAACCGCCCTGCTCGGTTGAAGACCACACACCCTCTTTTGCACCCTTATGCAGAGTGGGTGGTACACAGGCCCATGTTTGTGGTGGTAGTTGTCTCTCGTGGCCCTAGGGGTAAGTCCTCCCCAGGGTCTGGGCGAAATTCAAGGGGTTTGACTTTGACGGTTGCCACGGACTACAACGTCCAACCATAAAAATCTCTAAAAAGCAAACAAAACACGCACAAACCCAAGAAGAGGGAATAGGGCAAAGGTCCTCTGGCTTTTAAAAGGACTCGTGACCTTAGAGCACCCTTCCCCTCTATGGGTGGCGCCGGCGGCCTATAGTAATCCCAAGCGCTGCGCCTATGTGCGAGCCCGGCGATCCCATAACTTTTAGATGTTGGGGCGGCGAAGCGTCTCGTGTGGGACTTTAACATAAAGTTGCGTGGCCGCAGGCCAATTCTATGCCAACCACTAATGTCAATCGTACGTGGTAACCTCGGCTCCGGCCTCGCGATATTGAATGGCTGAAGGAACACATTGCGAGGGGTCATCCCTCACGATATTGAACGGCTGAAGGACATGCCGTTCGGCCCCCGCGACATTTCTGCCTTCAAGGTGAGGTGTCTCACCGGCCAAAATAATTAGGCTCTGTGCGAGGGGAAATTCCTCCCCTGCAGAGTCTAGGGCTTGGAATATCCTGGGCAAGGACCTTGAATCGCGACCCAGGACCAACGTCCGACTAAGAAAACCACATGACGCAAATAGGCAGAAGGGACGGTCTTCCCTGTTCCTCAGCCTCAGCCTTTTAAACGAGATTTTACCATGGGCCTCTTAGGCCTCTTAAATATTCATCACAAGCCTACCCACGCATACATGCATAAGGAGATAGAGCTGCGACGATCACTTGTCACAGGCACATTGGGACTCCTCACAACCATGTGTATGTATATGGGATCACAGGCAATCCAAATCCAAAATCTGAGTCACGGGACATACCTGCAATCACATCAAGAATCAAACGACAAGCACGCACTATACAGAGTCAACACCAATCATTCTCTGTGCTCATACCCCTTTCGCTTTAGCCATGCAAGGCCCAACCGTCGATCCAACTAACCTCAATTAAATGCTCAGTACCTTTGTTAAATGACCATTCAATAAAAGTCCGGGTGAAACTCTTAACAAATAGTAAAACCACCACGGCTAAGGCCTTTTAGGATGAGTATGGGGAGTGAGTTGGAATTGAGTCGAAGACCGACGAATCGGCAACCGACCTGTTATCATTGATAATCGAAGGTGATCCTAGGGGGATCAAGCTTAGTCTAGTCCTGATCTTAAATCAGACACCCCAAAGAACCTGTAACACAAGATAGGTCAAATGCCCAAGCTAAATCATCAGCATATGGGGGATAAACCTCCATAGCGCATTTTCACTCAAAGCTCCCTGCCAACTAAGTTAAACTTGTCTCTAAGCCAGTGCCCAAGGCAAAGGTAGACCAATGGCTGAATCTCCCCTATTCAGGGTGGCTTGCCAGAATCGCCACCTGTCAAAATATAATCTAACTCCTTGAATTCAAGAAAATTTCGGCAACGCTTCCGGTAGGAAAAGTGTCTTTTAAGAATTTATATAAGCCCAGATATCAAAAGCAGGAGTAATCTATAACTCTAGAAAGTAGGGCAGCATCTCCTTTGAATTAGTAGAAATTTGGGCAGCATCTCCTTTGAAATCAGGGCTTTCCTAGATTTATACCAAGCCAAATTTGGACTCAGCCCCCAACCTAAAGTTCAACTTAGACAAAATCTGACTAATTCCTTAGTTTTACAGAAATTTCGGCAACACTCCCCTTAGAAAAGCGCTCTCCCAAAATTTACACAAGGCTAAGTCTGAAACCTGAGACTAACTTTGACTTCCCAAAGCCCAATTTTGTCTAACTCTCTGAATTAGCAAAAATTTGAGCAGCACTCCCATTAGAAGAAGAGGTTTTTCAGATTTTTACTAAGTCAGATATAACGAAAAGACAGGCTGAACTTTAAGAAGTCAAAATTTGTCTAACTCCTTGAATCGTAGAGAAAGTAGTTTACGAAAATTTATACAAGTCCAAGTATAATAGTGAGTCTCAGAAAATGCAAGAATCGATCCAAGTAAAATAAAGTCAACTCAGAAAATGCAAGAATTGACCTAACTCCTATCGCTCTAGCACGTGGCGAGCCTCTAAAGCAAATACCTGTCAACCTGAAACGTAGACGAAGTAGGCCAACATCAAGACCAGGTACATGCCTCACAGATCACCTTCACCCCTCTCTTCTTAATTTCACTCGCCCGTTATGTCCTTCCCCGCAGCTCGTCCCCCCCATGCTGCTGCACCGCGCCAAACCGTCCGGCCAGCCCCGCTGTCCGTTGCTCGCTCCGCTATCCGCTTTTGCCCTGCGCCGCGCTGTCCGCTGCTCTGTCTTTCACTCCGTATGCAGCGCCGGCTTCTCCCTCGCTGCGCCTTATCTGCCTCGCCCCACCTTCCCCGACTGCACCCGACATAGCTCCGTGACCAGCTTCATCCACCCTGCCCCCCTCATCAACGCCTGCCCACTACCAACAAAACGCGAAAGTTAGCCACTAACCCCGGGATTAACACCGTTCATTCAATTCGCTCTTCCAAGTTCCTACCCGCCACTGTATCCCGCTCAATTCCACCCAAGTTCGCGGGCACTTCGCCTCCCCAACCGCGCCTGGCTCCTTCTCCCGCCATAGTCTCGGTGCACACCATTCCTCCTCCACCTCGCTACACACCACCCCAATGCAGAAAATAACCCCACCGTTGTGTTTGTCTCGGCCGAAAACTCCTACCTACCATCGTCTCCCGCCCGATTCCACGGGGAGTTGAGCAAGGTACGACTTTCCCTAGCTCCCGCTTCTTCACCTACCCGCACCTGGCCCTAAATCACGCCCGGATTGACTCGCCAAATCCTTGTTCGTCACCCCGCCGTGTTGACGTCTCCAAAATCGGCGCTCTTCGGCAGAGGGGCCCACAGCCCTCGGTCCTTGCGGCGTCAAAACAACCCGAAGATGACGACTCCTCTTCAACTTAGACTCCGCGGTCTAGTGCAGGGGCCGCACAAAGCCTTCCCCCCTTTCGGTATCACTCCAGCTTTTGCAGATGCCCCGACGGACTCGCCCTCTTCGAGTTCGGGCAATTCCCGGTATCACCCTGCCTCAACATCGTGGCGCACAGACCTGGCTCCTTCTTGAGACCAGATTCGGGCAGACGCGTCCCCCTCTCTCCCAGTTCACGTATGTCGTCCTTATGCAGGGGCCCCGCTAATCTTCTCCGTATTGTTCCTGTTTTCACGAATGTCCCCTGGGGCTTCGACCGTGGCGACGCCTGCCCTCGCAGCTGCAGCCTCGCCCTACCTCGGCACGTGAACCCGGCCTCCTTTTCGGGATCTATGCGTATCATCTTTGCGCAGGGGCCATGCTAATCTTTTATGTATTGGCCCGAATCCCCCCTTTTCGTCTGTACCCGGTGCAATTCGCGTCCGGGTCCACTCCAGACTTATACAGCGGCCAGCCAAACCCCCCACCCAACGGCCGCGTCAGCAAGTTGGCCGGCCTCGGAAGCAAGAGGGAGGAAGCCACAAAGATTTAGTTCTAGTACAGCGATCCCCCTCTCGTTTTCTTTTTGCACGCCCTTAGCCCGGTTCCCGTCTGGGTTCACTCCGGGATACCACCTCCCTGTGGGGCTGTGCGAATCTTCCTCGTGCCTCAAATCTCCTTCCCCTCCAAAGGGATTCCTCTGCTCCGTACCTGTCGGGCGTGGCCCAGGTCACGGCCCCCGTCTGGGTTCACTCCCTGAACTCGCACCCACACAATGGCCTACGCAAGCCCCCCCCTTCGTCTTTTCCTT